CCTGGATCATTGAATAATGCAATTTGAGAGTTTTCATTGGCTTAGCCATCATGGGTTATGAGCCATTATACCACGCTCTACAAATATGGTAAGCGTGTGCGTGATTTCCTGGGCTGTTTATTTTTATTTTAGTTTTCTATATTTTGGGTATTTTGTTTAAATAAAACAATTATTCCACTCCTGCCTATTGGATACAAGATGATTATAGCCAACTTGGCACTATGCACCTTGTTGACTATCTACCATTTTCATATCCAACACTCGCCAGTGAAATAATTGTGAATTGTGCAGTGGTTGTAAGCTGTCTATGGAATTTCTATTTTTTTTTCCATTTTCCCAAACCTTTGCAGGAATGTTTAGAAACAAATGGATGATTAAATCCTGACAAGGTTAATAGAAGGACATTCACAGTTTCTTGACTTCAAAAACTTAAATTGTGAAAAAAAAAAAACAGTTCACAAACATGACTGCAAATCCAGAGTGTCTTTGATAGTATGAATGTTAAAACTATGTGGTGAAATAAGTGGAAACCTTAGTACATTTCAGTTAGAATTACTGAAACAATAACTATTAGATTATTTGCTCAATTTCTGTGAGGCAATAGTAGCAATCACCTCTTAGTATAAATCTACTAGGGCTCTCTGATTGGCTACACTATCTCACTTCTATTCTGTTGATGGTAGAGAGTGGCACAGCAGTGTGCAGTTGTTAACAAACTGGTGGCCACTTCTTTGCATTTTCAAAGGGTCTGTGAAGAGTATTTAGATAACGTTTTAAACAACTAGTAGTCAGATCTATTCTAAAACTTGATTTCTATGCTTGATAATTGACTCAGGCTGACCTCTCACCAACTATCACGTGACAGAAATCTAAAGCTCATAGTCTAATCTAATTGTTGAATAGAATTTGAAAGCTTATAATCTGGTTATTGTAAATGGTATAGTTTCTTTTGGAGGAAACAAGTGTACTGAAAGTAACACAAGCAACGACCTGCAGTTTGTTTGAAAAAATAAATAATGTTAATATTAATAAATATTGGAAATTTACCTGGCTGAATTCAAATTAAGAATTTAGATTTTTCTCAGACCTGGGAAACAAGTGTCCTTTTCACCCCACTGTTTTTCTTACCAGAAGGAACATGATGTCTGTTTAAGCTCAAAAGGACCAAGGAATCAAGATCTGACAGCACAATTATAATTTCTGGAAATTTTTATTCAACCACATGTACTCATTATTAACACAATGTATACAAATTGGCAAACAATAAGAACCAAATAAATTTGGTCATAATATTACATATTCAGCAGCTGGAATTATAGTGTTCCTTTGTATTGCAGATCAGTCTCATGACAGTTGATGTCATTTACTGTATGTGCCAAACAGGAAGCTTGTGACTGTTGGCAAATTAGACTAACAAAAAGAATCTGATATTAATGGGTGTAAACATTGAAATATGGTTTGAGAAGTATGAACATTTTGTTGAGTTCCTTGTTTCAGAGACATGAACACTAACTATTCATTCCAAAAATAATTAATATACTAGAGTAGAAAGTACGTCTGAAAATTATACAAATTGTAAATATAGTGAGCATACTGTTGACAAGTATAAAGAAAATACTCTTGAAGTTCAAATTTATAGTAATAACTTTTGATGCATGATCGCAATAAATCTAAAAGCCAGATGATAGATAAGGAGTCAAGAATAGTTACTCTGCGTGACAGATATTTGATTATCACCAAGGTGACAAGAGCCTTGTGCGTGTACATCCCCAGTGAGGAATGATAACTTACAGCGAGGCAACTCCAACCAAAGCCATCCAGGCAAATTCTTTGCAAATTGACCAACAGCTTTTCACAATAATGTTTAATAAGAATTTTGTCAGGTGTCGTTGGTTGCAGAAGTCACACTGTAACTTGGTAATCCTCATTGTGCCTGTCAACACATAAGGTCACAGTCACACTGTAAATGGAGAGTAAATAGACAAAGGTACAGATTTAAATGACGTTGTTGATGTGTGATCTACATTTAATTGGTGCATTGCAGTCATCCCTTAAGTGCCAAAAACTAATAATATGTGTCTCATGTAATTTATCACACCCCCTAATCATTGGCTTGAACACAGTTTTTCTCTTAACATCCACTTTCTGTTGGAATGAAACAAACTTAGTCACTGTGCTAAAATTCCTTGCCACTTTAAAATAAAAGAAAAAAAATCATGCTTCTGTTGATTGAGTTTGCAGTTGTATTCCTTGGTCAGATTGTCACAAAAAGGATTGCCCTATAACTATTCTGTTTGTATTAAAAGAATATAGACTGTTTTAGTTCATTTCCACTGATATTTCCCAGAAAATAGATTATTCCCATTAAAAACAGTACAATAATATTTTTTAGTTAGTTTTAAAGAAACTCTTGAATAAATCAAAATCCAAACTCAGTTCAGAAACTCTACATATACAGTCATAGTATGTATCATGTTCAAAATATACTTAAATTAAAGATGTCAGTATCAAATCAACATTATAAAATTTCTGATAGCAGAATGTGCATGCAATAGGTTTTACACAGCACTGAACTCCTAATTTAATGACAACACAATCAAAATGAAATATACACAATGAAATCCAACTGTACAATACAACTTCAAATTTCTCACAAAAATGGTCTCATATATGCTTTCCACAATTAACTGCTACCATTTTTATAAATTATTTAACACCTAGTCTAATAATTAGTTTAATTAAAATAACTCCCTGGGAACCACTCAATTGCTTGCTACTCAGCGATATAAAGTTCACAGACCCCATTTAAAACAAAGCAACCCGGGGCATTAAATTAATTCTGAGATGCACTCATGTACAGGAATTTGGTTGCTATGCCAGCTGAATATCTTAGAAAATGTACATTTGATTAAGTTGGGAAGCCACTTGTTAATTGGAGAGAAACTCAAGAGTTCTGCCACACTAATTCTTGCAGTGGGTCAGATGATTCTGGTAGTTCCTGCATGTCAAAATACAGAATAGAGAATGTTTAGTAGATATACAATCGTTTTATCAATATTATATTTATTACATATGAAACAAGGTACAAGTGTCCTTCCCTTGAACAACAGATGAAAACCACATGTTTTACCCTTGATGGCCAAGGTCATGCCTGTTGTTTTCATGCTCAAAGCAGTTACATGTGCAGTGTACACGAAGTTGCTCATGTAATCCTCGGCAATCGAAAATTCAAGGGGAATAACATTTTCTGTTTTTTTAAAAACATGAGTGGAAGTTTGGGATAGAATGAGAAAATTGCAGAAATACAACCCAGGGGTGAGTCTTCCTAAAACTTTGTTCATTTTCTTCTAGTGAATACTGCTGCAACACTTAAGACAAGAAACAATTATACAACCCTGTTAATCTGGTCACCAGTGGGCCCTAAAAATCTGGCCGTATTAACTGCATGTCTGCATTAAAGGGGTTCTCTAAATGAGAAAATGACTGACTGAACTTTTGTTCAGGCCAGAATAACGTGGCCGTAATAACAAGGTGGCCATATTAACACAGTGGCCATTAGGCTGGGTTCCACTGTACTTGTTCATAACTGTCAAAATGTAAATTCCACACAATTAAGGCAAGTTATAGTGAAAACCCATATGTAAGAACCTAGTGGTTTAAGAACCTGCTGGCAAAAGTTTGCCATGTTATTACCCAAAAATAGAAGAACCTGTTTAGCCAAGCAAGATCAAGCAGGTTCTTATTATTATATGGATTACAGCTAAATTATGATAAACATTTTAACCATGGAGTGTGACTTTGACACTGCAAATTTATACTACAAGGAAATATGTGTACATTATACAATTGTGGCTAAATACCGTATATTTCAGGACCAAACCCAAGTTCATTTATTTTTCTGGTAATCAACAACAATATCTCCTTCAGAGAAATTAAGAACCTACTTAGCCTAAATTACCAATAACTACCCCAAATTATAAGAACCTATCTTGCCAGACTTCAAAAAATATATGTTCTTACATGCAGGTTTTTACTGTATTTAGACAGGGTAGAGTGGCTTAAGTGTCAAATTACTGTACCTCATTTTCTTGTTGTTCTGTTTCCTCAGTAGATCTTGCTCCATCATCAGAATTCTCACCACCTATCTGTTCTTGATCACTGTCGCCTTGAGATTCTAAATCTACCCTCCTTTCATTTTCTTCAAATTCTTGTGTTGTACTTTCCAAATCTGTATCAACAAGAGCGCCAATGGATGACACCTCTTCTGTGACAGTCTGATCAAAATCATCTAGTTGTTCAGTTGTTTCAGTTCTACTCTCTAGGTTATCACCACATGTTTCATTTAAGTCTTCCACTCTGTTCTCTCCATCACCTGGTGTTTGATTGTCAAGTTCTAAATCTTCCTCTGGGTCATAGCTCATATCTTGATAGTGGTCCTGTGCTGTATGTAAAGACGTGACATGGCCTTCATATGTTAAATCTAATGCATCTTCCTCAACACCTGCAAAGTACCGAACGTCCCTGTCTGGGTCCCGTTGAAGCCTTTGTATAGCAGAGTGAACAGCATCTTTTCCTTCACTATCTGTTTCTTTAAAGTAATCTGCACAACAGGAAGAAAGTACAGAGATAACTATGTGCTATGTTAGGACAAAGTGAAAGCAATATTGTTAGACGTTGCCATCACACATGCAGGTCAACCTTAGAACAAAGGAAGGCACCAAGTTATCTATTAACTTTTCTCTCTCCTCTGCAAAGGCCTCTTTTGTGTTGCCTTGACCATGTAGGCTGGAAGTTTCAAAGCTGAGAGGGGACCTCCCTGTCCCCTATGGAGTCTCTGCAGAGGAGAGAGAGAACCTCCCAAGTGATATGCTGTGTTTGAAATGAAATGTACCTGATAATAAGACACCTTGTGACAAAGTCCTGGCTAGACTAAGTCTCACATTTGGAACAGGATCAGAGAGAAGAAATAACAGGCTTGGTAAAAACTCTTTGCTAAACTGTTCTCCAGATTCAACATTCTCTTCCAATAGATTTTGGCAGAGCTGTGCATACCTATGAATAACAAAAAAGTGTTAAGATCTTTGACTAGGCTGTCATTATGCTTTGAGTAAACTGTTGCTGTGATCTTCACACTGTTACCTTGTGGGTGAATTTTACATGTACCAACAAGAAACAATTTCACTCGTAACATCAAGGGCCCACCACGCATACTCAGCTGTCACAGGTGTGACAGGTTATGGCCCTGACAGTTCTGTTTGAAGAAAAGCAAGCCTCTGTCCAGCAAAACGATTACACTTGTTATACATTTAAGTTGTGAGAATTTGGTGAAAGTCGAGAGAGTGTCCATTAGGGTCCTATGTTGTTTGGGTATCCATAAAGCCTAGACCAACTGTAACTGTGGGATACAAGGTTTACTATCATGCTGCTATACAAGTAAACTAAGGATGTATGGTTGAAGCTGTGACAACCTATAAAAAAAAGTCACTCTCAACATGACTTTTTCTCAGGTTTGCAAAACAGAGTCCTTCCCTCAACCAGCTTATCACACTATAAAAACTACTATTTAAACAATACATGTATATACTCATAATGCAATATGTGAAGTACATGTACAATACATACTAACTTAAAGAAACTTACGCTTGTCGCCTGGTCCACTGTGGACTGTGAGCAAACTTNCCTGGATCATTGAATAATGCAATTTGAGAGTTTTCATTGGCTTAGCCATCATGGGTTATGAGCCATTATACCACGCTCTACAAATATGGTAAGCGTGTGCGTGATTTCCTGGGCTGTTTATTTTTATTTTAGTTTTCTATATTTTGGGTATTTTGTTTAAATAAAACAATTATTCCACTCCTGCCTATTGGATACAAGATGATTATAGCCAACTTGGCACTATGCACCTTGTTGACTATCTACCATTTTCATATCCAACACTCGCCAGTGAAATAATTGTGAATTGTGCAGTGGTTGTAAGCTGTCTATGGAATTTCTATTTTTTTTTCCATTTTCCCAAACCTTTGCAGGAATGTTTAGAAACAAATGGATGATTAAATCCTGACAAGGTTAATAGAAGGACATTCACAGCTTCATGACTTCAAAAACTTAAATTGTGAAAAAAAAAACAGTTCACAAACATGACTGCAAATCCAGAGTGTCTTTGACAGTATGAATGTTAAAACTATGTGGTGAAATAAGTGGAAACCTTAGTACATTTCAGTTAGAATTACTGAAACAATAACTATTAGATTATTTGCTCAATTTCTGTGAGGCAATAGTAGCAATCACCTCTTAGTATAAATCTACTAGGGCTCTCTGATTGGCTACACTATCTCACTTCTATTCTGTTGATGGTAGAGAGTGGCACAGCAGTGTGCAGTTGTTAACAAACTGGTGGCCACTTCTTTGCATTTTCAAAGGGTCTGTGAAGAGTATTTAGATAACGTTTTAAACAACTAGTAGTCAGATCTATTCTAAAACTTGATTTCTATGCTTGATAATTGACTCAGGCTGACCTCTCACCAACTATCACGTGACAGAAATCTAAAGCTCATAGTCTAATCTAATTGTTGAATAGAATTTGAAAGCTTATAATCTGGTTATTGTAAATGGTATAGTTTCTTTTGGAGGAAACAAGTGTACTGAAAGTAACACAAGCAACGACCTGCAGTTTGTTTGAAAAAATAAATAATGTTAATATTAATAAATATTGGAAATTTACCTGGCTGAATTCAAATTAAGAATTTAGATTTTTCTCAGACCTGGGAAACAAGTGTCCTTTTCACCCCACTGTTTTTCTTACCAGAAGGAACATGATGTCTGTTTAAGCTCAAAAGGACCAAGGAATCAAGATCTGACAGCACAATTATAATTTCTGGAAATTTTTATTCAACCACATGTACTCATTATTAACACAATGTATACAAATTGGCAAACAATAAGAACCAAATAAATTTGGTCATAATATTACATATTCAGCAGCTGGAATTATAGTGTTCCTTTGTATTGCAGATCAGTCTCATGACAGTTGATGTCATTTACTGTATGTGCCAAACAGGAAGCTTGTGACTGTTGGCAAATTAGACTAACAAAAAGAATCTGATATTAATGGGTGTAAACATTGAAATATGGTTTGAGAAGTATGAACATTTTGTTGAGTTCCTTGTTTCAGAGACATGAACACTAACTATTCATTCCAAAAATAATTAATATACTAGAGTAGAAAGTACGTCTGAAAATTATACAAATTGTAAATATAGTGAGCATACTGTTGACAAGTATAAAGAAAATACTCTTGAAGTTCAAATTTATAGTAATAACTTTTGATGCATGATCGCAATAAATCTAAAAGCCAGATGATAGATAAGGAGTCAAGAATAGTTACTCTGCGTGACAGATATTTGATTATCACCAAGGTGACAAGAGCCTTGTGCGTGTACATCCCCAGTGAGGAATGATAACTTACAGCGAGGCAACTCCAACCAAAGCCATCCAGGCAAATTCTTTGCAAATTGACCAACAGCTTTTCACAATAATGTTTAATAAGAATTTTGTCAGGTGTCGTTGGTTGCAGAAGTCACACTGTAACTTGGTAATCCTCATTGTGCCTGTCAACACATAAGGTCACAGTCACACTGTAAATGGAGAGTAAATAGACAAAGGTACAGATTTAAATGACGTTGTTGATGTGTGATCTACATTTAATTGGTGCATTGCAGTCATCCCTTAAGTGCCAAAAACTAATAATATGTGTCTCATGTAATTTATCACACCCCCTAATCATTGGCTTGAACACAGTTTTTCTCTTAACATCCACTTTCTGTTGGAATGAAACAAACTTAGTCACTGTGCTAAAATTCCTTGCCACTTTAAAATAAAAGAAAAAAAATCATGCTTCTGTTGATTGAGTTTGCAGTTGTATTCCTTGGTCAGATTGTCACAAAAAGGATTGCCCTATAACTATTCTGTTTGTATTAAAAGAATATAGACTGTTTTAGTTCATTTCCACTGATATTTCCCAGAAAATAGATTATTCCCATTAAAAACAGTACAATAATATTTTTTAGTTAGTTTTAAAGAAACTCTTGAATAAATCAAAATCCAAACTCAGTTCAGAAACTCTACATATACAGTCATAGTATGTATCATGTTCAAAATATACTTAAATTAAAGATGTCAGTATCAAATCAACATTATAAAATTTCTGATAGCAGAATGTGCATGCAATAGGTTTTACACAGCACTGAACTCCTAATTTAATGACAACACAATCAAAATGAAATATACACAATGAAATCCAACTGTACAATACAACTTCAAATTTCTCACAAAAATGGTCTCATATATGCTTTCCACAATTAACTGCTACCATTTTTATAAATTATTTAACACCTAGTCTAATAATTAGTTTAATTAAAATAACTCCCTGGGAACCACTCAATTGCTTGCTACTCAGCGATATAAAGTTCACAGACCCCATTTAAAACAAAGCAACCCGGGGCATTAAATTAATTCTGAGATGCACTCATGTACAGGAATTTGGTTGCTATGCCAGCTGAATATCTTAGAAAATGTACATTTGATTAAGTTGGGAAGCCACTTGTTAATTGGAGAGAAACTCAAGAGTTCTGCCACACTAATTCTTGCAGTGGGTCAGATGATTCTGGTAGTTCCTGCATGTCAAAATACAGAATAGAGAATGTTTAGTAGATATACAATCGTTTTATCAATATTATATTTATTACATATGAAACAAGGTACAAGTGTCCTTCCCTTGAACAACAGATGAAAACCACATGTTTTACCCTTGATGGCCAAGGTCATGCCTGTTGTTTTCATGCTCAAAGCAGTTACATGTGCAGTGTACACGAAGTTGCTCATGTAATCCTCGGCAATCGAAAATTCAAGGGGAATAACATTTTCTGTTTTTTTAAAAACATGAGTGGAAGTTTGGGATAGAATGAGAAAATTGCAGAAATACAACCCAGGGGTGAGTCTTCCTAAAACTTTGTTCATTTTCTTCTAGTGAATACTGCTGCAACACTTAAGACAAGAAACAATTATACAACCCTGTTAATCTGGTCACCAGTGGGCCCTAAAAATCTGGCCGTATTAACTGCATGTCTGCATTAAAGGGGTTCTCTAAATGAGAAAATGACTGACTGAACTTTTGTTCAGGCCAGAATAACGTGGCCGTAATAACAAGGTGGCCATATTAACACAGTGGCCATTAGGCTGGGTTCCACTGTACTTGTTCATAACTGTCAAAATGTAAATTCCACACAATTAAGGCAAGTTATAGTGAAAACCCATATGTAAGAACCTAGTGGTTTAAGAACCTGCTGGCAAAAGTTTGCCATGTTATTACCCAAAAATAGAAGAACCTGTTTAGCCAAGCAAGATCAAGCAGGTTCTTATTATTATATGGATTACAGCTAAATTATGATAAACATTTTAACCATGGAGTGTGACTTTGACACTGCAAATTTATACTACAAGGAAATATGTGTACATTATACAATTGTGGCTAAATACCGTATATTTCAGGACCAAACCCAAGTTCATTTATTTTTCTGGTAATCAACAACAATATCTCCTTCAGAGAAATTAAGAACCTACTTAGCCTAAATTACCAATAACTACCCCAAATTATAAGAACCTATCTTGCCAGACTTCAAAAAATATATGTTCTTACATGCAGGTTTTTACTGTATTTAGACAGGGTAGAGTGGCTTAAGTGTCAAATTACTGTACCTCATTTTCTTGTTGTTCTGTTTCCTCAGTAGATCTTGCTCCATCATCAGAATTCTCACCACCTATCTGTTCTTGATCACTGTCGCCTTGAGATTCTAAATCTACCCTCCTTTCATTTTCTTCAAATTCTTGTGTTGTACTTTCCAAATCTGTATCAACAAGAGCGCCAATGGATGACACCTCTTCTGTGACAGTCTGATCAAAATCATCTAGTTGTTCAGTTGTTTCAGTTCTACTCTCTAGGTTATCACCACATGTTTCATTTAAGTCTTCCACTCTGTTCTCTCCATCACCTGGTGTTTGATTGTCAAGTTCTAAATCTTCCTCTGGGTCATAGCTCATATCTTGATAGTGGTCCTGTGCTGTATGTAAAGACGTGACATGGCCTTCATATGTTAAATCTAATGCATCTTCCTCAACACCTGCAAAGTACCGAACGTCCCTGTCTGGGTCCCGTTGAAGCCTTTGTATAGCAGAGTGAACAGCATCTTTTCCTTCACTATCTGTTTCTTTAAAGTAATCTGCACAACAGGAAGAAAGTAAAGAGATAACTATGTGCTATGTTAGGACAAAGTGAAAGCAATATTGTTAGACGTTGCCATCACACATGCAGGTCAACCTTAGAACAAAGGAAGGCACCAAGTTATCTATTAACTTTTCTCTCTCCTCTGCAAAGGCCTCTTTTGTGTTGCCTTGACCATGTAGGCTGGAAGTTTCAAAGCTGAGAGGGGACCTCCCTGTCCCCTATGGAGTCTCTGCAGAGGAGAGAGAGAACCTCCCAAGTGATATGCTGTGTTTGAAATGAAATGTACCTGATAATAAGACACCTTGTGACAAAGTCCTGGCTAGACTAAGTCTCACATTTGGAACAGGATCAGAGAGAAGAAATAACAGGCTTGGTAAAAACTCTTTGCTAAACTGTTCTCCAGATTCAACATTCTCTTCCAATAGATTTTGGCAGAGCTGTGCATACCTATGAATAACAAAAAAGTGTTAAGATCTTTGACTAGGCTGTCATTATGCTTTGAGTAAACTGTTGCTGTGATCTTCACACTGTTACCTTGTGGGTGAATTTTACATGTACCAACAAGAAACAATTTCACTCGTAACATCAAGGGCCCACCACGCATACTCAGCTGTCACAGGTGTGACAGGTTATGGCCCTGACAGTTCTGTTTGAAGAAAAGCAAGCCTCTGTCCAGCAAAACGATTACACTTGTTATACATTTAAGTTGTGAGAATTTGGTGAAAGTCGAGAGAGTGTCCATTAGGGTCCTATGTTGTTTGGGTATCCATAAAGCCTAGACCAACTGTAACTGTGGGATACAAGGTTTACTATCATGCTGCTATACAAGTAAACTAAGGATGTATGGTTGAAGCTGTGACAACCTATAAAAAAAAGTCACTCTCAACATGACTTTTTCTCAGGTTTGCAAAACAGAGTCCTTCCCTCAACCAGCTTATCACACTATAAAAACTACTATTTAAACAATACATGTATATACTCATAATGCAATATGTGAAGTACATGTACAATACATACTAACTTAAAGAAACTTACGCTTGTCGCCTGGTCCACTGTGGACTGTGAGCAAACTTATTGATGATATCACAGACATATTTATGTGCTGGTCCCTCTTCAGGACAGCTGTGAAGCCTTTGCAGTAAAACGCCAATCTAAAGTACAAGTAGGAAAATTTAAACGATGCAGTTACTAAAAAAAAGCAATGGAGAACAATTACATCAATTTATATACACAATAGATCCTTAAACTACATGAAAAATTAATTTAAATTTGTTGATTTGAAATCATAAGACCTACACGATATGCATGTACAAGTGACAGTGTTGTGTAGAGCCGGCAAAAAATAATAATTTTTCACTTGACGTAATTTACAACAAACAAAATAAGTACATGTATGTTAATAAGTTGACAGATGTCTTGTTAGTAACAATACTGACCAGTTTAAATGCTATTGTTCTGACATCAGCCACTCTGTCAGTTGCAAGTGAAATGGCAATAGGACAGATAAACAGAAGAACTTGCTTGGGTTCATAAAGCTCACAGAGTGCCATCAGCTGTCTGAAACCGGAAATAAAATTACCAAGTTGGCACGGTGTTACATTTATATTGCCTATAGAAAAACCATAATTCCAGACAGAAATTTTGGAAGCTCCAAGAGACAAGAATAGCTTCAAAACAGTAAACAAAACAACTATTGTAAGGAAGGGAAAAAAACTTACTCCGCCAGCTCAAAACGGAACCTCCAATTCCTATTATTGTCTGTTGTTAGGAAGTCTGTTAACATGGGAAGGTAGTCACCTCTTATATCACATGGAAGAAGCTTTGAAATAAAATCATCAATCAGTGTTAGAGAACACAAGTGGTAACAATGTGCTAGCCTGAATGGCATCTGTACTACTCCTCCAACCCCCCACTGACCCAATGTGCACCAGGAAAAACTTACCTAATCAATCAATTTCACATTGAACTAATACTAACATAATTTCATCTTCTACAGAAATTCTGTAATTTGAAATTTTTTTATCTAAGAAACTTTTCCCAAAGAGCTTCACTGGCAAAGGATAGAATTCATTATCCTGATGGCACAATCCACTGCCTCCTGGATGAGACTTTCTTTCATACTGGATAAGTAAACAATAGCCTCCTTTTGGCACGGAGATGCATTGTATGCTCGGATATTTGTTCACGGACATTATCTGTTCCCGGAAGTGAACAGTTTTCTGAGAGCAAAGCTCAAGGAAAACTGTGAGCTTTGAGGAACAGATAATGTCCAAGGACAAATATCCAAGCATATTTTGTGCCTAGTGGAGGCTATTGTGTTTTTTAACCTTCAAATATTTTTCGCAACACGCGCAGTCTTGAAAATTGGGGAATATTCTCGGATATTCCCCCAGTTTTAGCTGGGGAATATGCGGTTACATGATGCATTTAGACCAATCGCATGCGAGCGAAAATATTTGATGGATTATAATTAACAATAGATATTTGTGCAAGCCAGACACATGGGTGATAAGAATATGGCGTGTATAACAAAGTTGTCTCCAAACCTGAGGGGATAGTATCTTCACATGCATATCAAATCTCTACCTGTTGAGTACAAGCACGTCATTCTGCAAATTTGACAAGAGCTTACTAGGGTGCGAATAACCAACTCACTTCCATTGACAAAGAATGGAGGTTGTATGTGCATGTATCTCTTACCTTGATGAAATCTGCTAAATGCTTCAAAACTCCTATTCTCACCTAAAGTCATTATGAAAATAAGACCCATTACATTTAAAATACATTCATATACCAGTGAGAAACATTCATACATGAAATTACAAACTAAGATTATTTCATTAAATTTGGACATTTTGCTGTTCACATGGAAAAGAAACATTTATGAAAGCAGAAAAAGTTACAGAAACAGAAAACAGTAAGGAAATTAATTACAGTAAATTATTACCCATTAAAGGGAAAAATATATTACACCTGCATGTGTAATTCTCAATGTTCTTGTTTCCTCTTACCTCATCTAGGTCTTTAAGAAAGCTATTAAAAGTTGGTACCAATTCAATTCTTGTAATTTCACTTCCAAGAACTAATGCAAGTTCATGTATAGAGAATGCTAATGTTCTGCGAACTTTCCACTGAAAGAAAAAAATGATTCCACAAGTTAACACATGCACTGTAACTTACTCCTGGGTAATCAGATTTCACTGAACTCTTCAAGTCGTCTTTTTCTGTTCATGAATTCACTAACTGCAATGTACTGTGGTTCATTTTGGACAGAAAAGGTTGATCTGGTTTAGCAGTAAGCATTTAATTAAGAGTATTTTTGAATTGGAATACAATTGTATACAATTCCGTGACTTTCTCAATTAAGTCCAGTAATCATAGAATACTGAAAGCCTGTCTGCCTAATAGGTTGCTGTAACAGCCACTGAAAAAGAGCTAATACTGGGAAAGGATGTCTAGTCTCTCAAGGAAGACTGAATAACAATACAGGGGTACATTGTACAGTCTGGCACATTCACTAGACTAAGGCCAAGAGTAGCAAGAGAGTACATTATCTTTATCCCACATCAAATAACAAATACGGTAAATATTAATAAATTATATAAAATGATGTTTAAAATGCAAAATCATACCTGCATATCAGCAATAAGCAGTTCATATGTGTCTCTCAAACAGGGCCAGTTTTTACGACCTAATGTTAAAGTCACGGCAGGTAAACTGAAGGCACAATGCCGTACAATTTCAGTGTCAATGGTCTGTGCTTTAGCAGGTTCCGTCATTGAGATATAGTGGTCAAGTAGGGTTTGAGGAATGACATTCTGAAATGAAAGGTCAACTAGTAATTAATTGTACCAGTTGAAACTGTTGTCTATTTAACAAATTGACATCAGTTTTTCATGCATCTGTCCTGTTATTGATCATGAATTTCATCATAACATTCACCACTGGATCCGAAGACTACTTTGACAATGCTATGACGAAATTCATTGTCAATAACAGGACAGACGTGTTAAAAACTGACGTCAATTTGTTTATTACGATAACGAATTGTCAAATTGTCCTCTCTCACTCCTTAACATATCGCATAGGTTATAAATTCATGTGTCTGCTTGAATGGTGCAATTTCGTTTGTCATGTTGTACACCACCAAGAAAATGGAACTCTCAGCATGTCATGTAAACATTTATTAAGAAGATGTTGTGCAGAAATCAGAAAAAGGAATTACATAATTAACATAACAGTTTGTGCTTTGCACCAGAAGGGTTACAGTAATAGTGTACCTGCACAGGAGGGGCTGTTATGTGATCTGCAATGAGAAGATCCTCGTCAAATGAAGACGTATGAGCTAAATTAAACTTCCTGTAGTCATCATAATCAAAACGACCAATACCATCCACATGAGAATGAAATTCATCAGTAAGAGAATACAGAGGAATGCCATCTTCCTCGTCACTATCATCATCACCGTGCATAAACGATAGCTTTGGATGGTGATGATGGTGATGATGTTGAGGTATAGCATCGCTATGGCGATGTATATCTGAGGATCTACTTGTTTCTCCTTCACCTAATGCACTTGATTTGGGTGTTAATTCCAACTTATTACTTGTAGTTTTAACTTTTTCAACACTTGCAAGATCTTCTGCGTCTAGTTCAACTTGAGGTAAAGGCGTCCTCCAATACAGAAATGAATCAAAGTACTTATCATCAACCTCGTCAAGATCCGTAGTCATGTACTTATGGCAATTTCCTGACTCTTTTGAACATGCATGATCAAGAACATGTCTGCTTTTGCTTTCTTGTGACTGCTTTTGTACATCTGGTTCATTTGATATGATCTCCGGTGGTGAAATGTAACCAGAGTCTGTGGTACGAGCCTCAGGTGAGGGCTGTCGTTCAGTCTGCCTGTTTTCTTCATGAGAAGCACTGAAAACAATCACATACAGTTATAAACAATCCACAGAAAATATATGTCAAGCTAATGATTAATGATTAATGATTAATGTCAAACAGCAGCTTGTGTGTGTTCAACAGGGAACACAGAGAGTGTGTACATGTAACTGTTTAAATCCATTGCCTATATTATGTACATGTATATTCATGGCATCAAATGTTAATGTTGTACAGGTGTAAACAGGAGGTCCCACATAAAATGGGTGTCTATAAAGCAGGATTTGAATTTATGTGCACATGTGTACCACAAGGCTAGTATTTTTTCTCTCACTCTTCTTTGTGGCAAAATTGTTAGGCATAGTGAACCTCAAATTAACGAATGAAAGAACTGGTGGAGGACAACAACAACGAAACGTGAGGAGAGGAAAAGAGCACTAACTGCTGCTTACTCTTCAGAAGTAGAATCTTCAGTTGTGATTTGACTTGCCGATGCTTCTGCCTCTGTTTGTATTGGGGATGAAGGAGTTTCCAGTTCTCTCTGAGGCAGTGCACACAAAATCCCTTCCTCATTTATATAAAAACCACTCTCTGCTGGGTCTGCAAAAGTGGAAATGAAAGGACCAAGGCTTTGGTAGGCAGCCATCTGAACCTGAAATACAATTTAACATGCTTTTTTAATTGCAGTGCTTCAAATTACAAAGAAGGGAGGTCTAATCCACTAAATCTTAAACATTCAAGTCTAGGTTTGAGTGGGACCAATGTCACTGGGTAAGTGTTCTTGGGAAAAGCAATCTAATCTCAGAGTGACTCTCTCCACCCGGGACTCACGTGAGTATAAATGGGTACAGAATTGTTTTGGTAACCTGATGAGCTTCTGACTGGGATTCAGCTCATGATGGACTACAAAATATAGATAGTAGCCACCTAGCACAGGAGAGTAGTCACTAGAATTGAGCGCCAATCCCTTGACTAGGAAAAGACACAAAAATGAAGCTGCTTTTGAGTACATACCCATCTTGACTTGTCACACAACAAGCTGACAAAACACTGAGACAGCTCATTCTTTCTCATCATAGTAGGACTTGCCGTGGACACACTCATAAAACATTCAGCACAAGCCTAGGTTGATACAAGAATTAAATTCAGTTCAATTACGACTAAGCATGACCAAAAGAAAGTGGTTGTACTGAAAAAAAAAAAGATTTTAGTCGCTGTACATATACATGTAAGATGAGATTCAAACAAGCAACAAAGTAGTAACTCAAATAATGACTTGATATTTACTTGTCCAAGGATACATGTAGTTAAAAAGTTTCAAACAAACAGTTTGAATTTCAGACACCCTACTCCACTCCTAAAATGCTATCATAACAATCTTGTTTCTGCTTACATGTACATGTACAATAAATCATAGCTACATGAACACATACTAGGTGGCCGTTTTAGGAAAAAAAATACAATGAGGATATTGTCTACTTTTGACATTCTTTTATGCAACACACAAAAACTAGTTACAATACAATCATTTACAGTTCACACTTCTTACATCAATTGCATTGTTTACAGCAACTTAAAGAGAAGAAAATTAACTCATTACAGTGTGCCAGTTAATTAACTATAATAATATTAATATTCAGAATGAAACTAACAAGGAGACAAAACTTCTGACACGCCAACAAACTTATTTAGCACTGGTCACTCATGCAATGAAAATCTTACAATTCCTTTATTTCAAATTTGGACAGATGTATAGTATCAAAATTAAAATGACCACACCTTTCGCACACCCCACACTCCATCTTGACACAACTTGAAGAAAACTGGAAGCTGCAATGTAAACAAAATAATGTTAATTTTATCGAGGGACAACTGGAGGAGGAACATATTTACACCTGTAGCTGAGAAGAAATAAACACTCTGTCATTGTATAAAATGGTACTAACCATTCTTTCACTTGTTAATTCAGGTCCAAGAACACTGCACATCTCACCAAAGTTGGAAGCACAGACCTAAAGTGAATAGAAATGAAATTATCATCCTAATCAAATGTGACCAAGATCTGTAGTTGGCTACAAAGAGCCGCATGTTCATGTATGCCATGTAAATGTTCTCTGACTACGACAAACACAATCCCAATCAGGAGGAAAACTATAAAAAAGGGGAACTCAACGCATTCCTGTACTTGACACAGGTCACAAGTTCTGATTGGTTTGTTATGGTACATGTACATTTGTTTGTTGTGATTGGCCAGCTAACATTAAGAACTGTGCTTGAGGTTTTACAAGTCAGTCATTTGAAAAACACTCTAAGGACTAATTTAGACAGTAAAACTTTGCTGTTTGTGGGTTTTGTGCCACAGACTGGGCAAGCCATGCAAAATAATACAACTTTAGACACGTGGAATGTACAACTTTAAATACGTTTGATGCGAACATTGTCGTACGGTCTCAAACCTCAAAAATCCCACAACATATATTTTGGTCATACACAAAAAGTGTAAGAAAGAAACAATGTATTGTAGGCTTTACTTAGAAAACATGAATCATGCTTCTAGACACTTGTCATAAGTTTGCCGCCAGTTGCAAAAGTTATACCATCTAAATCAGCCCCAAGAAGATCTGCAACTTGAATTATTTTCTTTTTTTTCTAATTGGGGTGCACAGTTCTGTACGTTAGTATTTGACCGAGCATGTTACTGACCTTTCTGACGTGAAACAAAGGATCAGAGCACAGAACCTCAAACCTCGGTAAAAAGTACCGCTCTGTGATATCACGTCCAACAAGCGGAGCCATCTTACTCATTAACTAAAATAAAATATCATAAATATATATAAATATAACAAGTACAACTTCCGTACAAGTAGCAGAAACATAACATTGTGAAAGACTGCCAATTATGAGATCAGTGGTACTCTTAGATGTACAAAAATCTACATTGGCAAACAAGATTAATGAGATGATTTACATGTAGAGTATTTGTATCTAGGATGGAGAGGAAGGGGTTGAGTAGGTACCTTCTATGGAGGATTATTTCTATTTTACAATATAATTAATTCATTACTCTAGCTGCAAATAACAATTTTAGGACTTACTGCAACTGCTTCAGATCTGTAGTCATCATTACTCTCTCCTGCTGTTAGCTGGAGCAAGACAGGACACACCTGGTCTTCAACATCCTCTAAAGGCAGGAAGTCAACATAAAATGTTAACACAAGACTACTTTAATAAAATCACATAAAATGTTAACACAAGATTACTTTAAAAACATCACAGAGTTGCTCCAAAACTTCCTGCTTTTAAAACTACTGTAGCCCTAGACAGTGCACAATCTCTAGCAGACAGTCCCACGCCCAGATTGGATTAATCAGCCACCTTTGTAAACATTCTGCCAATCAGTGAAGCCAAGGTCATCATTGACACCAATGGATGAACATCATAATCAGATAACTATTTGGAAGGTATATTTTTTTCATATTGCCAAACATTTTCCACTGAAAAGAACGTGAGGGGAGTACTGGAAATGCATGCATGTTTCAAATTGCGAGATGGACTACAAGTTCACATTTTTCCTTTTCTCAAAATTTCTTATTGTGTGTTCTACATACATACAGCACTCAAAAGTCAATTTAATGTATTGTTATTTCAGAAAGTGAAAGTGGCTCCAGGGTTTGCTAATGTTTACAGACAAAAGCAACATTTCTAAAAATAGACAAACTATGTGCAAGTAACTTCAGTTTCACCTCTTTCAACAACTTCCTGTTCCAACAGAACTAACAGGGCAGCTTGACTTGTTTTACGAACCTAACCAACACAAACAAATCATACAGTAAGCTTCGAGTCAAAGAAATTGAAATTGTCCAAACTAATACATTCCGATCTACTTAGTAGTAGTAGTTGTAGTTCTACTTAGTTGAATTCAGTGTCTGTTTACATGCAACTTCGAAAGGATTGATTACAGGCTAGCATTTTATAAACTGCATGTAAATGTGTGATGGTAGAGTACATGAATGATCGCCATAGTCAACAGCATTTCATCTTAGTTGTGATTAACCCACATTTGCACTCTTATGTCCTGATTTAAGTAGGAAAAGATATTTTTGAGCTTATCTTTGCAAATCTTCAGTCCTGACATCACCACGTAGATATTCAAATCAAAGCTGGGAAATATGTCCTAACTTGACTATTACTGACCTTATTACAGGTCATTTAACCCTAATATTTACTAGCTGGTTGAGTCATCTCTTAGGTTGAATCAATTGCTTCCAAGCTGACAACTCTATAAACCTGCTAGCCCTGACATTTACGACACTAATACATGAAATGAACTGCCACAAAGCCAAATAGATTTCCTTGCCCAGTATCCATCTTACTGGTCGAATGCTCACTAAACAAACTAAACAGTAACAATAATAAGCCTTGAATTGAACTTTAATGTTAGTCCTTACAACTGTACCTGATTATTGGAATCGGTTAAAAATCGGAGTACAATAAATAAAATATATTGCGGCACAGCTTCCATCATCGAATGATGTTCATAACAGTACACTGCTACATGGGGAACCTGTTCCATAAGCTCAACTCTAACAGATGGTTCTAAAAAATATTCCAATAAATACATTATTATCAATATTACAAACAAAATCAGTTATAGGGTTACACTAGTGACATGTTCAATCGTGTCACAGGTAAGGCCCAACACATAAAACAACCAGAATATAGGCAAATTAATTCAATATTTTGTAACTAAACTTGCACCTTTATACTACTGTAAAGAAAGGCATGCTATGTATTTACAAAAGGTAGCGTCAGAGTGCATTTTGTTTCACAATTTTGTTGCAAGAAAAGTTACAGAAAACACCACCATTGTCAAGCTTCCACTTTTCATGACAATAAATAATCATGCAAATTGCAACAGCTTTCTTTTAAGAGTGCCCACTGTAAACAACTTGCAATGAGTTTTAAACTTGCCCCATAACAGTGCAGCAAATTTCCAAACCAAGTTGCGGAAACCATACCCTTTATAACACTATTGCTCAGTTACAAAAAACAAACATAGTGAAATTTGTGTGAACTTCAACATTAGCAATACAGTGTATTTATTTGCACATGCTAATGCACATCACAAATGAGTGTAAAGTTTTCTGACAGATCAATATTATAAAATGTCTCGGTTAATTTTTCATATACCTTGTAGAGAATTTTCACTTGTTTATTTTCCTTCTTTAAGTATGAAACTATTCCGCAGTAGTACATGTGCATATACACAAACTGCACATCAGATCAAAAAAATCTTGATCCTGAAAAGATCGTTTCAACTTTATCTAGAAATAGCCCATGGTTTTAGGAAACTGCTGTTCTAATATTTTATCGACTGCATCTTTTGAAGAAATAACATAATAATTTATTGGAGGGGGTTAACATAAACACAGCCAGCTTGTCCAGTTGCAAAATATCAAACGACGTCAGACATTTATGAGCTACATGTAGGGCAATATCGTTAGTTCAAGAAGCTATTTCATCGACCTTCTAGTAAATAAATGGTTTGCAATTAAATAAACTTAAAATGCAAGGTGAATAAAGAAAACTATTATCCAAGGAATGTATTTCAATTCTGGCAAAAGTGTGATCTTTTAACGCGCCGATCGAACTTTGATATAAAAAATTTAGATATCATGCAAGTTCCAGTTCAAATTTTACACCGCAAAATACAGACTTTGAACTTAAAATAACTGGATAGCGTTGATTTTTAAAGCATCAAATAGGATTAAATAAACAATCTGGCGGGTATTTTCTGGATACTTGAAGTACCCATATTGAGTTATGATTACGCAAAACTCGATCAACTGCAGCTTACCGATGTCGTCCGAAAGGCGAACCATGAGTCTTAATACATGGTAAACTTCTTCTTTGGTCTTACTCGCCCTAAGAGCGTCCTGACAACATCTAGCAGCCATTTGCCTATGAATAGATCATTGAAAGTCACATTGTGGATTTACGACAGCAACGAAAAAACGAACGAACTCGCAGAAAGAAGACACAGTCTCAGCTCACACGTGCTGAACTTTCGCGAAACTCACCGATTAACAATGATGTCGCTCAGCATAAATCTCTCCATCCTGATGATGGGGCTCAGAGGTTCTTCAGCAGATGCATAACTTTGCAGTGAAGACTCGTCCTGATCCATCTCGTACCCCTCTGTGAAATCAAGATATTGGGTAATAGGTAACCGTTGAAGTAGAAAGACCGTGGGAAGTGATGCGTTGATCAAAACGCTATGTCCGGCATCCACAGAATGCAAGTTAGACAAATGAACATACCATCTTCTTGGTCTTCCTCTTCTGGGCCATCATTGTTTTCTATATGGAATCGTATATCTGAAAGGAGATAGACAATAAGTAATGAAACGGGACGAATACCTCATCGGAATTCACGACCTACCCGCCATCTTGGAAGCGGCCACCAAACTTTCTACCAAACATGGCTTCCAGTCACGTGACTGACAAATCTTGACCAGCCCACCCCTACTGTTCGCTCCTAACCTAACGGCTTTCCTCTGTTGAAGAGGGAAGAAAAGAAAGCTCTTGGGAGAACGGTAAGCTTCTTCCAGGACTCAGATAAAACACAGTGCCTATTTAAGCTTGTAAAGTTGATTATTTTAGTTTCAAAAGTCCAAGTTTAATTTCTTCACACGTAGTGAACCCCAGGTAAAACGAGAAAGAGGTTGGGCGGAGTCCCCCTCGGGAGCGGAACAAACCGCAAACTACGATGAGACTAAAATTGATAAAATGTACACTTCACAAGTCACCGTTACCAGAGAGTAAGGTAAAGCAAGGTAAGGTAACTTTATTTTAAGTCGTAAACGTAGGGAGTGGTTGCCCAATCTCCCGAGCTGGGGTTCATGACAAAAACGCACGACTATTTACAATAACATTACTACTTACAATTACTATATTCGCTAAGATAAATTCAAAATTAAAATAGAACAGTGACGGTAAGAGAATATTGCGAGTTCAGCAGCACATAGGCATCGGTCCGTAAACTGCCGCTTGTAAGCCCTGGGCTTAAACAACTCTAAATTTCATGAGCATTCTAGTGCAATTTTCAAACACTTAAATATTGTTAAACTTACTGACCTTGTCTTTCTTAATATTGCAGTCTTTATGTGTAAATTTCACAATAGACGTGTAGCATCTGTGTTTGATACTTTCTTCACACAAGTCAATAAAAGACATAACTATAATACAAGAAGTGCTTCGAATATGTTCTATACTTTACCTAAAGTGAGAGCAAATTATGGAATATTCAACATAAGATTTCAGGGCCCAAAAGTATGGAACTCAATTAGTGAAAATTTGCAAACCTTCTCTATATTTCAAACTTTAAGGAATCAGTGAAAAGCGATCTTGTCAAAGATTATTAGTTACTTGTTATTTTATTAGCAGTTGTGTTGTTTCCCAATTTACCTGTAAATCAGTCTTTTGTTGATTTCTTTCACCTTTCCAAGTCTTTCTTTTATAGTTTAATATATAACTGTTTACGTTATTAGTTGCCATAGCTATTGTGTGCTCTTCTTATATTAATNAGCATGTTACTGACCTTTCTGACGTGAAACAAAGGATCAGAGCACAGAACCTCAAACCTCGGTAAAAAGTACCGCTCTGTGATATCACGTCCAACAAGCGGAGCCATCTTACTCATTAACTAAAATAAAATATCATAAATATATATAAATATAACAAGTACAACTTCCGTACAAGTAGCAGAAACATAACATTGTGAAAGACTGCCAATTATGAGATCAGTGGTACTCTTAGATGTACAAAAATCTACATTGGCAAACAAGATTAATGAGATGATTTACATGTAGAGTATTTGTATCTAGGATGGAGAGGAAGGGGTTGAGTAGGTACCTTCTATGGAGGATTATTTCTATTTTACAATATAATTAATTCATTACTCTAGCTGCAAATAACAATTTTAGGACTTACTGCAACTGCTTCAGATCTGTAGTCATCATTACTCTCTCCTGCTGTTAGCTGGAGCAAGACAGGACACACCTGGTCTTCAACATCCTCTAAAGGCAGGAAGTCAACATAAAATGTTAACACAAGACTACTTTAATAAAATCACATAAAATGTTAACACAAGATTACTTTAAAAACATCACAGAGTTGCTCCAAAACTTCCTGCTTTTAAAACTACTGTAGCCCTAGACAGTGCACAATCTCTAGCAGACAGTCCCACGCCCAGATTGGATTAATCAGCCACCTTTGTAAACATTCTGCCAATCAGTGAAGCCAAGGTCATCATTGACACCAATGGATGAACATCATAATCAGATAACTATTTGGAAGGTATATTTTTTTCATATTGCCAAACATTTTCCACTGAAAAGAACGTGAGGGGAGTACTGGAAATGCATGCATGTTTCAAATTGCGAGATGGACTACAAGTTCACATTTTTCCTTTTCTCAAAATTTCTTATTGTGTGTTCTACATACATACAGCACTCAAAAGTCAATTTAATGTATTGTTATTTCAGAAAGTGAAAGTGGCTCCAGGGTTTGCTAATGTTTACAGACAAAAGCAACATTTCTAAAAATAGACAAACTATGTGCAAGTAACTTCAGTTTCACCTCTTTCAACAACTTCCTGTTCCAACAGAACTAACAGGGCAGCTTGACTTGTTTTACGAACCTAACCAACACAAACAAATCATACAGTAAGCTTCGAGTCAAAGAAATTGAAATTGTCCAAACTAATACATTCCGATCTACTTAGTAGTAGTAGTTGTAGTTCTACTTAGTTGAATTCAGTGTCTGTTTACATGCAACTTCGAAAGGATTGATTACAGGCTAGCATTTTATAAACTGCATGTAAATGTGTGATGGTAGAGTACATGAATGATCGCCATAGTCAACAGCATTTCATCTTAGTTGTGATTAACCCACATTTGCACTCTTATGTCCTGATTTAAGTAGGAAAAGATATTTTTGAGCTTATCTTTGCAAATCTTCAGTCCTGACATCACCACGTAGATATTCAAATCAAAGCTGGGAAATATGTCCTAACTTGACTATTACTGACCTTATTACAGGTCATTTAACCCTAATATTTACTAGCTGGTTGAGTCATCTCTTAGGTTGAATCAATTGCTTCCAAGCTGACAACTCTATAAACCTGCTAGCCCTGACATTTACGACACTAATACATGAAATGAACTGCCACAAAGCCAAATAGATTTCCTTGCCCAGTATCCATCTTACTGGTCGAATGCTCACTAAACAAACTAAACAGTAACAATAATAAGCCTTGAATTGAACTTTAATGTTAGTCCTTACAACTGTACCTGATTATTGGAATCGGTTAAAAATCGGAGTACAATAAATAAAATATATTGCGGCACAGCTTCCATCATCGAATGATGTTCATAACAGTACACTGCTACATGGGGAACCTGTTCCATAAGCTCAACTCTAACAGATGGTTCTAAAAAATATTCCAATAAATACATTATTATCAATATTACAAACAAAATCAGTTATAGGGTTACACTAGTGACATGTTCAATCGTGTCACAGGTAAGGCCCAACACATAAAACAACCAGAATATAGGCAAATTAATTCAATATTTTGTAACTAAACTTGCACCTTTATACTACTGTAAAGAAAGGCATGCTATGTATTTACAAAAGGTAGCGTCAGAGTGCATTTTGTTTCACAATTTTGTTGCAAGAAAAGTTACAGAAAACACCACCATTGTCAAGCTTCCACTTTTCATGACAATAAATAATCATGCAAATTGCAACAGCTTTCTTTTAAGAGTGCCCACTGTAAACAACTTGCAATGAGTTTTAAACTTGCCCCATAACAGTGCAGCAAATTTCCAAACCAAGTTGCGGAAACCATACCCTTTATAACACTATTGCTCAGTTACAAAAAACAAACATAGTGAAATTTGTGTGAACTTCAACATTAGCAATACAGTGTATTTATTTGCACATGCTAATGCACATCACAAATGAGTGTAAAGTTTTCTGACAGATCAATATTATAAAATGTCTCGGTTAATTTTTCATATACCTTGTAGAGAATTTTCACTTGTTTATTTTCCTTCTTTAAGTATGAAACTATTCCGCAGTAGTACATGTGCATATACACAAACTGCACATCAGATCAAAAAAATCTTGATCCTGAAAAGATCGTTTCAACTTTATCTAGAAATAGCCCATGGTTTTAGGAAACTGCTGTTCTAATATTTTATCGACTGCATCTTTTGAAGAAATAACATAATAATTTATTGGAGGGGGTTAACATAAACACAGCCAGCTTGTCCAGTTGCAAAATATCAAACGACGTCAGACATTTATGAGCTACATGTAGGGCAATATCGTTAGTTCAAGAAGCTATTTCATCGACCTTCTAGTAAATAAATGGTTTGCAATTAAATAAACTTAAAATGCAAGGTGAATAAAGAAAACTATTATCCAAGGAATGTATTTCAATTCTGGCAAAAGTGTGATCTTTTAACGCGCCGATCGAACTTTGATATAAAAAATTTAGATATCATGCAAGTTCCAGTTCAAATTTTACACCGCAAAATACAGACTTTGAACTTAAAATAACTGGATAGCGTTGATTTTTAAAGCATCAAATAGGATTAAATAAACAATCTGGCGGGTATTTTCTGGATACTTGAAGTACCCATATTGAGTTATGATTACGCAAAACTCGATCAACTGCAGCTTACCGATGTCGTCCGAAAGGCGAACCATGAGTCTTAATACATGGTAAACTTCTTCTTTGGTCTTACTCGCCCTAAGAGCGTCCTGACAACATCTAGCAGCCATTTGCCTATGAATAGATCATTGAAAGTCACATTGTGGATTTACGACAGCAACGAAAAAACGAACGAACTCGCAGAAAGAAGACACAGTCTCAGCTCACACGTGCTGAACTTTCGCGAAACTCACCGATTAACAATGATGTCGCTCAGCATAAATCTCTCCATCCTGATGATGGGGCTCAGAGGTTCTTCAGCAGATGCATAACTTTGCAGTGAAGACTCGTCCTGATCCATCTCGTACCCCTCTGTGAAATCAAGATATTGGGTAATAGGTAACCGTTGAAGTAGAAAGACCGTGGGAAGTGATGCGTTGATCAAAACGCTATGTCCGGCATCCACAGAATGCAAGTTAGACAAATGAACATACCATCTTCTTGGTCTTCCTCTTCTGGGCCATCATTGTTTTCTATATGGAATCGTATATCTGAAAGGAGATAGACAATAAGTAATGAAACGGGACGAATACCTCATCGGAATTCACGACCTACCCGCCATCTTGGAAGCGGCCACCAAACTTTCTACCAAACATGGCTTCCAGTCACGTGACTGACAAATCTTGACCAGCCCACCCCTACTGTTCGCTCCTAACCTAACGGCTTTCCTCTGTTGAAGAGGGAAGAAAAGAAAGCTCTTGGGAGAACGGTAAGCTTCTTCCAGGACTCAGATAAAACACAGTGCCTATTTAAGCTTGTAAAGTTGATTATTTTAGTTTCAAAAGTCCAAGTTTAATTTCTTCACACGTAGTGAACCCCAGGTAAAACGAGAAAGAGGTTGGGCGGAGTCCCCCTCGGGAGCGGAACAAACCGCAAACTACGATGAGACTAAAATTGATAAAATGTACACTTCACAAGTCACCGTTACCAGAGA